AGCGTTCTATCCCTAGATTAACGGTTAAATAGAGAGGATAAACTAAATACTTAAATACTATCTTCGGTACTTTATTAACGAGTAATAGAAGATATAATTTATACTTCTATATACTATAGAATTCGCTTATAATAATACCGTTAATATAATAACTAGAATATCGCCTTTCTAAGTCTTATTAGGGTTTAATCTAAACTTCTAAATACGCGCTAAGGACGGTAGTATTAAAAGAGAGGTATCGGTAGCTCTAGTAAGAATTTAAAAGCTTATAGAGCTTTATAAAAAGCTATAAAAAGTATAGAGAATAGTAACTAAAATATAGATATTTTATTATAATAAGTATTATAAAGAAATAATATTTAAGAAAAATAACCTAGTAGCCCTATTAATAAAAAATCTATAATTAAAAGAAGGTACTATAAAGAAACTATTATCTTAATAGATCGGATCTTTTAGAATCCTTAAATATATCGGAAAATAGGCGTATCGCCTTCTACTCCCTAGCTAATATATAGCGATCTATAATATTTTCTCTATCTTTTTTATTTTAGCTATAGTACTAATAAGAGGGCGAATTAGAATAATTATTATTATTAGAACTAGCGGATAATAATAAATAAGAGGTCGAAGAGATTAAGGATTACTATTAATTTAAAAATAAATTATACTATTTAGTAAAATAGTATAGCTAGCTATTAAAATATAATTAATAGATACCTAAAAACGTAATAGTAAATATACTAAAAATTATATTAAAATATTAAAAAACTCTAAGAAAGAAGAAAATCTAAAAATAGCTATAGCCGCCGAATTAAAATCGGAATTAATCCGTTATACTTATAGGTCTAAAGGGAATATAGCTAGATACGCCTCTAGGAATTATCTTATAGTATTAGATATCTAGGAATTATCCTAAGTAGCCTAGACTAATTCTTATATATTATCCCGGAAGGCGATTATCCTAGTATATTAGCTATACGCCGACTCCTTAGCTATATATAGACGAGGGTAGTAACTAACCTTATTCGTAAGTTTCTTATATTTAGTAGTAGTAATAGGAACGGGTAATAAAAAGAATTATTAATAAATTATAGTTAGATACCTACTAAGAATAAGCGTCTCTAGTAGCCTAGTAATAAGTTAGAATAAAATCCTAAAGAATATAAAGGAAAATACTTTACCTAAGATATATAAATACTAGGAAGAGAGTAGATATAATAGTAAGACTTTATAAAACTATTAAAGCTTATAATAAGATATTAAACGTACGTTATAACGCTAATAACTAGCTTATAGGGTAGCTATAATATAATTATAGTATCCTAATTATTAATATTAGACTTAGCGTCTTCGCTAAAGCTATTATTAGAGTTTATCTAAAAGTCCTAAATCTATAATAAGTATACCGAAAGTTTATAGTAGTTCCCCTCGATATCTTTAGAGATCTAAATAAAATTAGTATAATTTAGTACCGAATCCTTACTAAAGTAGTTTAGAATACTTACTATCTTATAAGGCTTATATAACCTATTATAGTATTAATAATTCTTCCTATTATATATCTTAGCGAAGTAGCGGATAATAAAGAATTAAAGAGATACTAAATTAGTATCTATCTACTCGTATATAGAAACGTATAGGTATATTATATACTAAGTATACTAGCGTAAAATTAGAGAGCGTAGTTTATATAGTAAATAATAGATAGGAGATATAATTATAATTAATCTATAAAATAATAATAAAGAAGTAAAAGAATATAAATCTAAAAAGTAAGAAGATAGAGAGTTATAAGAAGAAAATAAATTAAGGGTTATTAACGCGATAGGGTCTAGATCGGATTCTATATAAAATAGGAAACTATAGATTAAATCTAAAAATATAAGTTATATCTTCTATTTTTATTTACTACCTATTAAAAACTAAAATCTAAAATAATATTAATACGTAATCTCCCGCCTATAATTTAAAAAGCGGAATAGGAAAAGAATCTACTAGATCCTTTACTAAGTCTTTTAGAATAACGCTTAGTATTATAAGATCGAAGTATCCGATATATATATTTTAGATTACTACTAAAAGATTATACTTATTTTAAGTCTAAATAATAAAACTATTATCTTCTATTTAAAGATATTATTTTATTTCGGTATAGAACCGTTTCTACTACTCTTCTATCGAAGAAATAAAAAGACGCGGGATAGGATTTAAATATATCGTATAGCGACTAACGAGATAGCTATAATACTAAAATAGGTCGTTAGCGAATTACTACTAAAGCGTATAATTTCTAAGAATCTATCTTAGCCTCTATAAAATCCTTCTAGTCTTTATCCGAAAACCTATAATCGGATTTATATACTTTATAGGTAGTATCGAAGTCTTTAGCTAAATTAATAACCTCCTTACTTATCTCTTAGAGATATATTATATCTTATATATAATATCTATTTATAGGTAACTAATATTAGGCTACCTACTCTAGAATCGCGATTAATTTAACGCGATCTCCCTATATTCTTTCTAATAGGGGTTTATATACTAATTTCTATTAATTATATTACTAGTATTTTTTAAAGTTAGCCTTATATAAGAAATACTAAATAGAAAACGGAACTACGCTTATTTTAGAGGTAAAATAAATAATTATCGAGTAAAGATAACTTATATACTATATATTTTTAGATAGATTCGATTTCTACGAATAGCGGGTATAGTAAAATTAATACTAAATATCGAGGATAGTTAGGAAATTAGGATTCTCTACTATAAATATACCTATAGCTATATAGTCCTAATACTATAAAGATATAAGAAAAATTAGATAAAGATTCGGAACTATTCTAATTATAGCTCCTTTATTATAGAGTATTACCGATATCTCCCTAATACTTTATAGCTACTATCTATTTCGGATATAGATATCCTTGTAGGAGAAGGGGAATAATTGTAAAGGATAAAGGTCCTTTTAAAGGTAAAATAGGAACTTAGGCGATATATATATTTATAGAAGTTTCTAATACGTATATAAATCGTGCGGGGTTCGTCACCTAATCGGTGTCGAGCCTTAGCACGCACATTTCCTTTTAATCTTAGGTCCCCCGGGACCCCTGGATTCTGGCAAGAATTAGTCTTGGCACACACAGCCCAATACACCCTTGTTTCCTTCTCCCAAGCCAACGTATCTTACCCGGTTGACAGGCCTTACACCTGAAAACAGTAAATTCTTACATAAAGCTTACTTCTAGGCGTCTTTAATAATCCGGAAAAAATCCTGTTTTTTAGACGTACTTCTACCCTATATAACAACCTTACTATTAGCCTTATAGTAGTAGTGTTTTAGGTATTAAAATACCTAGCTATCTAGCGGTTAGTATAGATAGGTTATATAGGGTAAAAAAGAAGAAAGGAATAATAAATTTTTACTTATAAAAATCATAGAATTTAATAGTAGTATAGGAACTATAATTATCTATTATTAAAAGCCTTAGTCTACCTTTCTAAACTAGCCTAATTATAGCTAGATAAAAAGAATAGAGCTATTTAAAGGTAGTTTTATTATCGATATAGCTATTTAGGGTTAGTTTAACCCGGAAATTAGGCGTAGAGATATCGGTATACTACTCCTCTATATAGATAGAACCTTTAGGTAAAAACTAAGGTATTATTACCTAACTAAAGGCGGATATATATTTAACACCGGTAATTGATTTATTATAACTACCGGTAGGGTTATTACCCCTACTAATAGGAGCAATAACCTTCTATCGTTTCCCCTAGTTAATTTAGTAGCCGGTTTTATTCTAATTAAAGATCTCGTTTAGAAGGAATTAGTATTAGTTTATTACCCCCGGAGGCTATTAAACTATAGGTATAATTCTCTAAAATCCTCGCTATTAACCCTCGATTTTTTAGTAGGTTTAGGGTTGATATAGATTATATTTAGGGGTAGTGAATCGATAAAGCGGTAGACCTAATTATAGCCAACTACCCGGTCTTTTAGTAGGCTATTTGCAGCCCGCTTAATAAGCTTAGGGGTAGGGTTAGTATAGGCTTTATATAGAGAATTGATCTAGGAATATATTGCTCGGGTTTAAAGAGGGTTTAATACTTTTCTCTAGCTTCTAGTAGTAGAACTAGGCTTGCGCCTATGGATTCTACCGCGTAGCCGACCGTAGGGAATTTCAAATTCCCGCGCTAATTTAGATAAATTGGGTTTATCTATCTGATCATAGGCAGCTACGGCCTATAGAGTTCGGATTTCAACGTTTTCCTTTTCATCCGACATGGTAGTAGGGGAAAAAATAGGTAAGAAGTTGAAAAAAGTGAAAATTTGCTATTTTGTGGGAATTTGCTATCTTGTGGGGCCCACCAACACCGGGTAGGTGGTGGTGGGCCGTGCCACGATTACTACCTTTGACTGAATTATTATTAGTTCAACTTCTGCTTTATTTTAGACGGGCATTAATTAAAATACTAGGAGGAGATAAAATCAATTGGTATATTTATTATAAAATTGACGCTTTGTATTCATAGCGGTGGGAAATATTAATGCCTTGATCCCTAGCTTTAGCCTAGCGATTAAAATACCTTAATTACTTAGAAGGATTGACACCTCCCTTAACCAATAATCAATGTGGCCTAGTTTTGCTAGTTAGTTAGCCTTTACAACTCTTAAAAATAAAGCCTTTCATTAGCATACAAATGTAGATATCTCGATATTTTATAGCGGGTTATAAGTGTTAAAATAAAGCTTTTCATCAGCATACAATTACAGATATCTCGATATTTTATAGCGGGTTGCAAGTATCTAAAAACGAAACTTTTCATTAGTATACAACATACAAATGCTTCAAGAAGGCGGTAATGAAATTGGCGGTGAGGTAATAACCAATGAGAGATTATGTTTGGGTGGTCACTTGGCCACCCCTCGCATTCCTCTCCTTTTGACTTTTTGACATAATTTTTAGAAACGGTAGCAGGAACTCACATCACACAACATGATGAATTCACAATACGGACAAGGGACTTTACGATATTTTTTCTTCCATGGAAATCATGGAGGCATACCCATTCCACTTCACATGTCTGTTGACGCCAAAATCCTAGTGTTTAGTGGGGAAGGTCAAATGTAGGCTATGTTTGCCAAACTCCCCTATCGTTGGAAGGATGTTCTAATAAATAAGCTTATTGGGTGACACTTTTGAAGATAATCCATCCCGATATCACTTCAACAATGGAATATACGATATCACGGATGGCCAAAAGGAGAGGCCTCTTCCAGCAAAGCCATTGGTTGAAAGGCTGATGAAAAATGTCTCGGTGCCTTCCCTTGTTTTGGCTGAAGTCCCTAGGTAGGTGTTACTATACACTCTGCATCACGTTTACTGATACTAATGAGTAGCCATCAAATGGGGATCGGACTTCGAACACTAGATCCGTTTGTTTATGTGTAAGACTTTATCCTCGAATACGGTTGATAGACCTGACAGTCTGTCTTACAGCGCAGTTCTGGTTCTTGGAAGAGACGACCTCCACCCCTGCACTCCTGATGACAGAGAATACTTAGCCGTTATGATGCAAGCTTTTGTCCCTCGGATTATATCCTCGATGGCTCCGGCAGCTAGCAAGTACCTTCCAGGCGATGCTCATAACTTGTGTATCGAGTTGGCCAATAGCATGGAACTCATTGAAGACGACTTCAATTTCCAGACTTTCATCGCAATGTACCGAGGACGTTACGTCCAAAAGCCATTGCCGCAAAGAGCTGTGGTTGAGCTATGCTTGCTTCATGTTTTGAAAATGCCCTTCGAGCTGAATTCTGCCATCCAGAACTCGCTTATACGTTACTGATATATCACTGCCATACTTGTCAATTGCCATATATATGGAGTGGGTGCGGGGTGGCACCCACTCGCTGTCCCTCCGGCTAGAAATCTCGCGTTCGTTGTACTTAATATATTGGACCGTTTCACGAGCAATAGTGAAAAATAAACTGTGGTTCTCGAATCTCTAATTTAATTGGACCTGCGCGAGGCGAATGGCACGGGCCCAGATCTTCTGACAAATAGAACACCAAATAATAATTACTGTTCGCTACCTACCTAGTTAGGTAGCTCTCTAGCCCCCTTTCCCTTCTACAAAACATCAATTTCTTAACTGTCCCCACGATGTCAGAAGAATCATCTAAAGGTTGCATCACATGTGGTTGGACGCTCGATCAGCAAGAGCAGTGCTTTTACTCGAGCCATGTCAAACTCTTCTATGGTGCAAGCAGGCGGGGAGTGTGGTCGATCGGGTCTGATGTTATTTTAAAAGAACGCCCTAACGAAGGACCGAAAACCGAAGTGATCACCCTGAATCACCTTACATCCCACTCCAATATCCCGGTTCCAAAGATCCTACGTGACTGGGTTGACGGCAACGGGCGATACTTCGTACTTCTAGAGCGGATACAAGGCCAAACGCTCGAGAAGGCTTGGTCTTCGTTATCAAAATCTCAGAAAGTGGATATCGTAGATAACGTTATTGGAATTCGGAAGCAGCTTCAATCCTTTACGTCAACATCTATACAAAGCGTTGATTAAAGTCCTTGTTTTCCGGGTCTACTCTTTTCTGACCGCGAGCCACACGGACCTTTTCACTCCGACAACGAACTCTGGGATGCTATAAGCCTTACTCTCCACGATCTACCTATAAGATTGTTCCCTCAACGAGCCCTGGACAATCTGAAGAAACGTCTGCCTAAATGTGAACCCTACGTTCTCACTCATTGTGATCTTAATTTGGGCAATATCATGGTGAAAGACGGGAGGCTGGCTGGGATTCTCGATTGGGAATTTGCTGCATATTATCCTATATGGTATGAATACGTCTCGGCCTCTTGGGGGTGGACAGAGGAGGACGCCGAGTGGAAAAAGCTTCTACGAGAGCGTATGGGTATACATGGCGAAGGATATGATGATGCGAAGGATTTCTGGACTGATCTGCGTCATTTGAGAAAATACCCGAATTTGGATGAAAAGGGCCGAGAAGTTTTGGACAGGTTGTCTTCGGATTAATTGCTTTTTGTCAGGTTGCATGTACGTAAACGAGGCAGTGTAGACAGGGCATAGTTACTCTAAAAGCGCGCTCCCCTGGCTTGGGTTTGGCATTTCAGCTTTAAACATCAACCATGTGTCGCCTAGGAGGCTTAAGAGGCCGGTTTTTCCAGCGCTCTTTCTTCAAGCGTCCTTTCTCTCATCGAGCTCCTTTACCCGTACCGCAGTTCACTCAATCGAATATCCAACTACTTGATTCAGATATGAAGTTTGAGGAAGAAACGCATCCAGGATACACGACAGAAGACTCATATTCTGTCAAAATCGGTGAAGTCTTCCAATCTAGATATCAGGTCATTGGAAAACTTGGTTTTGGGGGATACTCGACTGCATGGCTTTGTAAAGATCTCACGTACACTTTTTCTGATTCTGATACTACGGCACAATCGATAGACATTTCAGCTCGGAGATGTTGAGTGCATCTCATCGGCACCTGGAAATTAGATGCTACAAGACAATATATGTTGTGGAACTCGGTTCGAAATGTACGCAACTTTCTGCGATGGGTTGGGTGAACTACTCTAGATAACATCTGTGTGAAAATGAAATCTAGATCATGACTACGCGGCTCATACTTTCCTTTCGTATTCCGCACGACTTAGTACAACCCAGATCCAACCCAGACCCAACCTAGTCTGGGTTGGGTCGAAGGGTCGAAGGGTTCGACCTAGTACTGGGTCTGGGGCCCTAAATTGGGTTACCAACTATGTAAATACGCTAACCATGTGTATAATCTAGCTGATTTAACAATTATTTGACCGCCAAGACCCGTAGTTATGTAAAAACTAGGTAACTATGGGTTGGGTGTTGGACCGAGACCTTTGATTCAAAATGAGTCGTGCGGAATCCAACGTAAGATAGGCATTGAGGGCAGTTTTAGTATCTTAGACGCGCTGGTAGGGTTTAGTTTATGTACTTAACAGAGTACCTAGGTAGGACTATGTGATCACATACCCCAGTATGTATTCCTCTTATAACCCACTCGAGAAAAGTCCTATATATTACATATTCTGATAAACGGCTGAACAAAATAAATCTAGGGATAAAAGTATGGTTTAGCGATTTATTTCTCTACCCCTAGGGCTAAGAAATATTGGTCGAAAATAAGTAACTTATAACTGTAACTAGATTGTAGTTATTCGTGGTAGCATCACCCGCTATATTTGATTATAACCTACTATACTCTAGTTATTAGCTATGTAATTTAACGTTATGACTCCCCAAATCTTTGAAGGAACCGACGATACCGAGCTGCCATTGGATACTAATGATAGCGACCTATCCCCCGAATAGGAACGGCCGTTCACTGGCGAACGAGATTTGCTGAAACAACTTACTCCCTGGTTCGATGCGAGGTCAACCTGCGACATCATCAATTAATGCACGGCTGCGAATTAAATTCGAAAGTAACCCTGGCCGCTATGTCCCTGTGTACAACAACATATGCACCATGCCGATGAAATGCACTCAACATCTCCGAGCTGAAATGTCTCCTTGATCGGACTTGTACTCCGGAAGGAAGATGATGCTGACCCTCGAGGTATAAAATGAAGGTATTCGCCCACTGTTCCTGATATCAGTTCTACATATTTACCAAGATTTCTTGCAAAGTCATTCGGTAAGCCTTGTTACCACCTCACTCGAGCTGATCATTAACCCTTATTTCACAACAGCTCGATTTAAAACCATGAAGTCCAACTTCCTCATTGCGCTCTTCAGCTTGGCTCTGGCCGCTGTTGCTGCTCCTACCGGTATGTCACCAGTCACCCCAACGATGTATTTGGCTGGAACACTTCTAATTGAGTGATAATGATAGGCCCTGGTGGTGCTGGCGGCGGTGGTGGTGCTGGCGGCTCCGTGGCCGGCGGCGGCGGTGGCGGCGGTGGAATCGGCGGAGGCCTCGGTGCTGGCTTTGGGGGTGGTTTCGGTGCCGGAGGTGGTGCTGGTGCTGGTGCCGGTGGGGGCGCGGGAATCTAAAAAAGATCTCTCGAGACTGGACTAATGCGCTTGGCTTTTTGGAGTCCGTTGAAGTGGTTTCTTGATAGAAATATAGGATGGGACAATGATTAGAGTAGGAATGACAATTTCATCCTACTTTATCTGCATCCATGTTTTTCTAGCGTCTAGGTCTAAAGGTGATATATGGATGGGACGGAGATTAGAATAATTGGCAACTTCTAAGTAAGGCCCTAGGATATTCGTTTTAGATGTTCTTTTCAAAAGTTTAGGGATAATCAAGCATCTAGCCACCAATAATACCTGTAAAGGGGGTTTTGTCGCATGGTACCTATACCGCAGCCTAAGTGCTCCGCAGAGGTCGTTATAGTACAAGAGAACAGGAGGACCAAAGACAATAAAACTGCTAACGCTCAGCCCAAACTCCATTGTAGGTCTTTTTTCTATCTTCCAGGATGTAGTGTGTGCATGATACATGGGTTGCGTTAGAATGAAATACTCTAGCCGAGTCAAATGTAAAAAGAAAAAGTAAACAAATGTAAAATGCATAGTGAAAAGGAACAAGGGGATGGTTATTTTACAGCTCATCTTTGGGAAGATCCTCCTTCTCCTCGGGCTGATCCTTGCCCTTACCCTTGCTCTTCTCGGCCTCGGGCTTTTTCTTTTCCTTAGATGCTTTCTTTCCGCTGCTGCTGCTCTTCTTCTGTTGGCCAGCATTTGCGGTCATCCTCTCGTACATGCGGTTAAGGATACGCTCGAACTCGCGCAGCCGTGAGTCAACCTCCACAACGGTCAAAGCAGGGTCGTCAGACTCGGTAAGCTTCTCTTGCAGACCGAGCTGGGTTTCGAGCCAGGGGTTGGTGGACTCGTAGGCCTTGTGTGATGGCCGTGAGGTCGGCGGGGGTAAAGAGGGAGTACTTGGGGCCTGTGGGCTTGGCCGTAGCAGCACTCTTTGTAGATGTGGTGGATGATGAAGAAGAAGCGGAGTATGCGTCTTCATCGAGATCATCGAGACCCTCGTCAGAAGCGGCGGGGGCTGAGGTCGATGAGCTAGTGCTAGTTTCGGTAGAAGTGGAGGTGGAGGATGCGCTTGAGGCCGAGAGGGAAGAGGAGTAGATCTGCTCGTCGTTATCGATCTGGTTCTTGATCAATTCCTTCATGGATTCGGCGTTCTTTAGCATGTCCTTGAGCAACTGCACGCGTGCTGGGCGAGAAGAGCTCTCCTTCATCCGCTTCAGTGCAGGGTTGACGATGGCCTTCAGGTCCTTGAGCTTCGACTGGAAATCGGCAGTCTTGGCGTTGTCACCCTCTTCGTACAGCCAGTCGCTGGCCTGGGAAACTCTCTCGGAGAGAACAGTCAGCTGATCCGGCTTGACTGCCTTGATAAACTCCTCGTTATCGGCGAGGTCTCGGCTACGGTAGATGAAAGATTCCAATTCATTAAGAGCTTCTTCGCGCAGGATACGATCACGGTCCGAATTATCGAAGGCAAGAAGGCGGCCGTTGATGCGACCGAGCTCTGCGACTGATGGCGCCGGAGTTCCAAGTGTGACAGACTTCAGACTGATCGGGATAACTTCAAGCTTGACCTGAGGAGTGGCCTTTGCGTCCTTCTTAGCATCCTTCTTTGCGTCCTTGGTGGACGTGGTGGTGGACTTGGAACTGGCGGAGGATGAAGTGGAGGACTCTGTCTCGGACTCGAGGGTGATCGATTCACGAGGCTCACCATCTTCGCCGAGGGGCTCCTGCTCATCTTTCTTGCCGAGGCCGAAGAAGCCCTTGACGTCTTCAACAATTCCCTTCTTCTCCGACTCCACCTCGCAGCTAACCGTACCAGCCACAACTTCGGGAAGACCGTCCATGGGGCTGAGGCGGATCGTGAACTTCGTGGTAATGTTTGAATCGGTGCAGCCAAACTCATCCTTGAGCTTAGCAACAGATGCAGTGAGGTTCAGGGTTTGGACACTGAGGATAGGCTGTTCTCCATCCTGGGAAACATGCTGGGCGAAGCTGAATTCGAAATCCTCCAGGTTTTTCACAGTGACTTGCTTCTCGGGACCAACCTGGGAAGTGGCGGTGAACAATTTCTGGTTCCGTTGCTTGTCGTCCGAGTTCCACTTCAAGGAGATTGGGTATGTAGCGGCATCACCGGCGCGAATATCCTTAACACGGAAACTAGGGCTCAGAGCAGCTCCCTTGAAGGCAGCACCAAACACAGCCGCCTCATCAGCGTTGACGTTGGTTCTGATCTTCTTAGAAGAGCCGACAAAGTTCTCCAATTGCTTCTGGACGAAGGGAGTCCGAATGGCTCCACCGTGAAGCACGACAGATTCGATATCGCTCAATTCAAGACCGGCCGCTGTTAAAGCCTGCTGCACTGGGGTTCCAATACGGGCAACGTACTCAGCAGCCATCTTCTCAAAGTTGGCACGGCTCAACTTGTACTTGAAGTTGACATTCTCATCGTACAGTCCCTCAAAGCTTGTCGAAGTCTCGGTGTTGGCACTCAGAACCTGTCGGAGCTTCTCCGAATCCTTCCAGAGTCTGGACATAGTCTTTCCGTGAGCCTTGATTTCAGCTGGAGTAACCTTATCCTTGAGCTTCTTTTCCTCAACCAAGTGGGTGACAATGTCGTTCACAATGAGACCATTTAGGAGTCACCTCCAAGTGACTTCTCCCAACCAGAGCCAATAACATGAACTTCCTGGACAGTCTTGTTGAATTTGCCAATATCCTTAACTTTGCGGCTCTGGAACCGCAAAACACTCGCGGTCGTAGATCCGGCACCCATGTCATATACGATGTGGTATTCAGGCTTCTCGCCATCAGAAACACTGGGGAAAGTACGGCTGGTGGCGTAGTTCAGACCGACAGCCAAACCATCACTGACAAGAGCCTGGATCCTCAGACCCGCCAGCTCAGCCGCCAACTCCAGGCTGCGCTTCTCCTCCGCGGTGTAGAACACAGGGTAGGTAATGACGACATCGCGGACATCGGATCCCTTTCCAGCCAACGCATCAGCATTGGCCTTGATCTGCTTCAACTGCATTGCCAGAATCTCCTCCACCAAAAAGGCTTCCTTCTTCTGCTCCTCCCCTAGCCGGTTGCTGCGGAGAGCAACAGAGCCGCGACCATCGGGGGCGGACTCCAATTTCAACGCGGGGAACCTGCTCCAATAAGCCTTAACTGCCTCCTCGTTGCCATCATTGAATGGAACGCCCAGCAGAGTCTTCAAGTTGATGTAAATATCGTCCGGGTACCGAGCGGCGAGGGCGAGCGCATCGCCACCATAGAACCGTTCGGGGAAAGGCGCATCGCTCTCTCTTGTAGGCTTGAAAGCGACAGCAGCGGACTCCTTGCGCTTCGAATCTTTAGTAAGAACGATCTCAAGCGGAATGCCGGGTTTCACGAGAGCAGCTTTGAAATATTCGGTGCCGATGTCGATGCCCAGAACGGCCGATCCGGCGGCAGAAGCTGGCCCAGCGAAGCTGAGGAGGAATATGAGGAATGGGAGGACCACGAGGGATAACATTGGCGAGCTCGATAATTGTCGGCGATTTAAGAACGCCATGATCTATGTTTAGGCTCCGGGCTGCGGGAATCAGCCAAATTGTTGATTTAGGAGTTGCTCGCAATTTCAATAGGGATAAATTACCCTTTTTGACACATATACAGACAAATTGACAGATATTTAAACACCCTACCGGTTTGCCGAATAGTGTGTTGGGGTTCGGGCTAGCTTTGCGCCAGAGGGATGGTCGGATGGAGCTATGGGATAGCTCAAGATTGCTGTTGGTTTGAGCGATAGGTAGTGGGAGAAGATGAACAGGGGAAGAAAATCGGAAAAATGACTCAGAATTAGGCCATTTGAAAGCAAAGGGATACTGTGGCCACTTGGCAGTAACGTAACATGAAGCCTAAAAAAGAGCTGTTGGATGAGGACACGGGTCATCATGCAAACACCGATGTTTGATGTTTGCACTCCTTATCGTTATCGCATTATGTCACAGCCCTAATTTCAAACAGGGCTGAATTGTAGTTATACTAGGAGTATACTAGACAACTTGTGAATGTTCGAAGTTTATAATCATGATGGAGATTGAGGGTAAATGTGAATAAATATCAATTCATAGACCAATATATATATGACTAGAATTAGGGTTCCATACATCATGGATAGGGAGCGTCAAGTCGTTAAGAAACTCATTGATAGCCATCATGCTGGCATCCTTCAAGAATGGATATTTTCGAATACAATTTTTTTGTATGTTTTTGTAATGCTTTTTTGTGTGTGTCAAGATCATAATCCCGTTCCTCACAAGCCACTGCCAAGAAAAAAATGATATCATATCTCGTCTGACATATCAACTTCTGTGTAGGTCAATTAGAGCAGAGCAAACAGCAGAACCAAGCCAGGGATGAAGGCTGCGGCCGACTTCTGAATAGCGGGAGCACTATTGAAAACTGGCGAGGAGGAAGTAGGGGGAGCGGAGGTGGGAGTAGTAATAGGGCTCGACTGTGCCGGGGCAGTAGGCTCAGTAGATGGAGCAGTGGGCTCCGTGGCCGGGATAGTAGGCTCAGTAGCCGGGGCGCTGGGCTCAGTGGCTGGAACAGTAGTCTTACTATCTGGAGGAGGCACCACGACAGAAGTTGTGGAATCAACGGTGGGAGTCGTATGCTTCGCAGGAGGGGCTGTGGGCTCAGCGCAACCCTCAGTGCAGGTAGAAATAGACGTCACGGTGATCGTGCTGGTCTGGGTCACGGGATGGGTGTAGGTTGACGTGCCGCTTGTTACGGTGGTCCAGGTTACTGGTCTTGTTAGCAATTGTTTGATGGAACAGTCAGAATTTTACTTACTTGGGCAGGTGGTAGTGGTGTAGGTGGTGGTTACGATCACCGGAGGAGTGATAACGGGGGGGTCTCGGTCTCATAGGGGAGTGGTGGAAGCGGGAGGAGGCGTGGTGGGAGTGTCGGTCTGGCCAGTCGTAGTGCTGATAGGAGGAGGCGATGTAGGAGTGTCGGTCTCGCAGGGAGTTGAGCTCGCAGGAGGAGAGGTGGGTGTATCAGTCTCGCATGGGGTTGAACTTCCCCGGAGGAGAAGTGGGAGTATCAGTCACATGAGGAGTTGAGGTCGGCGTTGTATAAGGAGGAAGAGTTGGAGGCAAAGATGTGGTGTCAGTCTCGCATGGGGTTGAGCTAGCAGGAGGAGAGGTGGGTGTATCAGTCTCGCATGGGGTTGAACTCCCCGGAGGAGAAGTGGGAGTATCAGTCATATGAGAAGTTGAGGTCGGTGTTGTAGAAGGAGGCAGAGTTGTTGTATCAGTCTCGCATGGAGTCGAGGTAGGTGTCACAACCGGGGGAATAATAGGTGTGTCGGTCTCGCATGGAGTGGAGGTCTCCGCGTGCGGGGTAGGAGTATCAGTTTCACCCGGGGTCGACGTAGGCGTTACAACCGGGGAACAGTAGATGTGTCAGTCTCAGACGGGGTAGAAGTCTCAACCGGCGGAGGAGTCTCAACAGGTGTGGAGGTGGGCGTCACGACTGGGGGAATAGTAGGCGTGTCGGTCTCAGACGGAGTAGAAGTCTCAACCGGGGGGGTCTCAACAGGTGTGGAGGTGGGCGTCACAGCTGGAGGAACAGTAGGCGTGTCTGTCTCGACAGGTGGGGGAGTCTCAACAGGCGGAGTCTTAGCCTCATGGGGAGTGGTCTCTTCTGGGAGACCACCGCCGCCTTCACCACCATCGCCGTGATCTCCCTGGCCACCGCCCCACCAAGGACTACCGGTGTCATGGTCGGAACCATTGCGGACAGCAATGTGAGCCTCGCCAGGGTGTCTGGGGGTAATGACCATACCAGACGCCAAGGTAGCGGCGTAGAGCAGAATGATTGGAGCACCCCCGCATCTTGACTAACAAACGAAGGTTGTTATATACTAGAATAGCTAGGGCTGATATGTTCCTTAAACGAAGGACGATAGGAACCGTAGCGAGAGAGTTCCTAAACGAGCAATATAGACAATTGAAATATTTCTAAGACCGAGGCTGGGAGCAGACGGGGATAAGGCAGGTTTATATGTGCCTCTGGGGTCATGTCTCCTCGGAGCTCCAATGCTCCAATTCCTGACTGGTTAGCTCACTTGATAACTCTGTTCTGGTGGCCATTGGGTTAGTGTGGACCAAATGGTACCATATTGGGCACTCAGAATCGGAAGTCAGAAAAATAACAATAAGTGGCGCTCATATTCTAACGCTAACCGGAACCGACATAAACGAGAAGTATTCAGGATATTTAGCAGTCGACCTGGCATATTCCCAGCCAAGAGGCTGGTCATGGTAAATGGTGTACCAGAACTTGGATGCAGAAGCGAGAGCTAGCGCATGTACACGAGTCCAGTTGACTAGACGACCAGGTACTGGGGTTGAGCCAATGATAACTTGACCAGGTCTCAGATATTGGCGTGTGGTTTGTCGACCCCAAAAACCTGAGTTCGAATGTCTAAAGTCAAAGTTTCCAGAATCCGATGGATGGGCGGATAGGTCAATTGACTCTAATGATGAAGGTCGATTCTTGGCAATGCGGGAGATAGCCCTGGGATTTTCCGTCACAGTACCGAGTAGTACGTGCCCAGCCTCCGTCAATATTGGCCATCTTCTGTCATTTTTTTGTTGTCTGTTTCCCTTTGTCTTGACCCTCCATAGCGATGGGAACCCATGAAAAATGTCTCTTCTCCACGTCATGAGACCGAGCTATGAATTAGCTCTTAAGTTCGGCCCATAACCCCATTTGCCCAAGTAAAAGTGTGGGGAAACATAACGAATGACAAGTGGAAATTGAAACTGTGTATAGAGTATGTCTAAAGCAAAGTAAGTGGGAGTAAACCTTGGAGCTCTGGTAAGGCAGAAAAAAGAATAGATGGAACAGTGACCCGATATCGGTGATGCCCATCTAGAGGCTGGACTTGGTTGGGGTACGGAGCAATCACAACACAGTGCCCCTGGACAAAGTGTCTCATGCAGGAAACAGTTGAAAGTCTTGCAAAAGGGTGAACGCAGGACAGTGGATATTGTGGAACACGCCCTGGACAGCCCTAGAGATCCCGGTCTCTTTTTCTCTTTCCCCAATAGAAAACATGCAGGGAAGTTCCCGAGGCCCCCCGCGATTGGTACGATAGTTAGTTATGGGTTCCCACATGAATCCCCCTTAACTAACTAACTACTCCGTAGTTAGTTAACGATAGATTCCCACATAGTGGTGATGTCAACGTGTTGTTTATTTTTCTATTTTTCTATTTTTCTATTTTTCGATTTTTCGCTTTTTTTTCCCCTCTTTGATCTTGGTTCTGCCCTGAGATATTCTCTTTCCCCCTTTTTCAATGTTCGTTCCCTACATCTGACGTATACAATATGTCTCATAGGACTACATATGTGTACCTAGGTATCCTATTCTTCCACAGCTGTATAATGGGAAGTCGATCTATTCCAACATTCTCCCACTCCAGACTATTAGAATTTCCAATCGGACTGATAACGCGCTCAATCTCGGTTTGACAAGAAAAAGGAATAATGGCGGGGTAGATGAGCTGTTGAGGATAAACTTACATATTTATCTATCTAGTTAGTTATACAACATACACTAGTTACATAACATAGTTAGTTAAGCGTTGTATATGTACTTAGACTATTGCACAATACTATGAAGTCACACAACAAGAAACATTTGGGATCCTTGAAGTTATACCAGCCTTCTTCCAGGAATACGGAGGGATTCGTCCATTCAGAAAAAGCTGGGGCATTCCAACCTTGGAAGGTTCAAATATTACCAAGGAACTTTCCATTTATACTCTACCCCATAGTATCCATAGTATGTCTTCCAAGGTTCATATACCTTGGAAGTATCTAAAATTAGGATATGTCTTAAACACTAAAGTCTCAGGGTTTGGGGAAAATATGATCCAATAGATCAGCCTTAAGCCACAGAATCTTTCCAGGTCTTTTCCGGGGTAGACAGTGGTGCATACTTCGTATATTAGACCTACACAATGGGAGGCAAATACCGCCCGAAACTGCATACCCTGTCATTTTTAGATTGTGATGATATCAACATATGTTCTTTGTCTAATCATCATCGTCGTCCGAGCCGCTACTCCACCCTGTCTCGTAGTACTCTCGAATCTCGCCAAGTCCATTTACCAAGGCCTCACGCTCATCTACAGAGACCAAACGTCCGGCCGTTGCCGAGATAGCCTTGATCCTCTGAGCTGTCCTTGTCGAGGCGGTCAATGCCGTAAATACATTTACCCCAGTGCCTGCCTCGGGGGTGGGGAACATGTCGTCAGGGAAACTGTCAAGAATAGGCATACTGAGTGGCGTGTGGAAACTAGAATGGTGGTATAGAATGTGAGCGTCCTGGCTGAGACAGTGAAAGTAAATGCGCAAAATGGGGAAACCTACCTTTGCAGCATCGACTCTGAGTTGAACCGTCTAAGTTTGCGAAGGTACCCAACGTCTGTGTCCTCCGTGGACTCACTGTCCCTTTCCGGTTCTTCTCCACGGGTTACTTGGACTTGATTGAAAGTGTGAGCGCCCTTGCTGTACTCGCCGTCATAGGCGAAGTCAATGTCAAATTCAATTTCGGCTTTGGTCGGCCCATCCTCATTGGAGGCTTCCTTAGTCTGACCGTCATTGATTTTGATTTTGTTGATAGAAGATTGTAATTCGAAGATGGTGTGCGTGCCATCTTCCCCGGCGAGGGAGGCCTCGAAATGTTGATATGGCCGCAATCGGGAAGGCAGTGTGACCGTCTCAATAGCTGAGGCGAGCAGGGCTGTTTTCTGCCATTCTGATTGGCGATCAACTTTGAGGTAACCGGGCAGGTTATGCGGAACGTCGATAATTGGAGAATAGAGCGAGGCCAGTGGCGAGATCGAGCAGAGTGACCTGGCCTTGTTCGTATCCTTCTTGAACTGGTGATGCTACACAAAGTTCGAAACTTAGCCAACCGAGCTCGCGATTCTCCAAAATAGCACTACTGTGTCACTTACCCGTTGGATTTTAGTGCCGTCTTCAATAGCCCACACCCAAATACTTTTCTTTCCGAATTCATCTCTCAGTCTTTCCATATACTGGGCAGTGAATCCGCCCCAGGCATCATCTGACCCGGAGAACAGTTGCAGCGCCCGCAAGTGGTCACATTCCTCAAGGAGAGGTCTCAGGTCACGGTCGAGCAGGTCATGCTCCTTGTCAAGGTCTTTAAATAATCTCTTCCCCGACATTCCAATCCTCAAAGGGCATAGTCTGGGAGTTCAAGTCATATTCATTTAGCTGAACAATGGACCTCGGGTGATAGTACACTCTGTTATAGTCTGACCAGTAGCGTACAGCCTCCGAAGTCAGGCGAGGGGCTGTAGTTCCTAGATCCAAGCTTTTCTGATATTCACTTTGTTGGATTGGAGTTTGCTTTTGGACTACCTCTCGTCCATCCCTGCCAGATATTAGTTTCAAAAACTTGTCCATCCATTTGAGCCGCATACCATAACCCTTGACCTGCTGTGGAGTCTTCACTGAGCTCGTAAAGTGCATTGTATCTGCGCAACGTTCCAAATCCACCTTTCAGATCATAGATTACTGTGCGTGGAGTGTAAGTCTCAGAGCCATCTGCTCCAACACCCGGTCGAAAGTGAACATCGTGATCAACATCGGATTGTTCTCCATCGTTGTATGTGAAGTATGATTCCTAGTTAGATATTAGATAAAAGTTCGCATCCAACGGTAGATGACAGTACCTGTAGATTCCAAAAGTGTGTTGCTAGATAGTTAGCCCGCTGACCCAGCTGAAGTGTGACAATTTCATGCATATTGATGGATGAAAATGATACTCGCAGTGTAGCCCCTCAGTAAATTTTGATATCGACAATGCCCGCCTGAAGACGCACAGACATAGCCAAAGGTGACGCTAGTCCTGATGTGGAGGATTATCGCACGTGAGTGTCTAACCATATCGGGGAAGGTGCAGAGAGTCACCAGGGCAACAGTCACCTGATCATTCCAAAGAGGGTAATAAACATGTTTCTGTGGGTGCGTCACCACCCTAACTCCACAACGGTGATTTTCCCTCGTGAATCTCCCTTCCTCAATCCTGTGATGACTCTTTGACCTTGTGATCATCATCGGCTGGATCCATTATTTGTCAAGTATCTGAGATGGAGTCTCCAACACGTCCCATCCTGAGCCCTCAAAAGCACTGAATCCGGTTTCGCCGGAACGCATGAATCAACAAAACATACCCGCATCTCCTCACTACCTTCCGATCTTCTCACACTACACCACAAGAGCACCCGGGGTGTTTCGGAAGTTCAAGCCAAAGTGGCGTTTTTAAATGGCCTCTCTCAAGGAGGCAGCCCGGCCAACTCTGCAGCAAATAATGCCGCTCTACAGCGGGCTATCTTGGGCCGCGAGGAAGCCGAGTCGGCCCTAGCCACCGCACAAGAAGATTTATCCGAAGCACAAACACGAGAACGCCGGATCAGTGAACGCCTCGAGTCATTACTGGAAGAGCTTCACGGGACAAAAGAACGCCAGGCCCACGAACGATCAATTTTCGAAAAGGAAATCCGAAAAGCCCGGAAAGAAGCTTTTCGGGCCGGATCGACCTTGGTCAAACTTCAAGAAGAATTGAAACAAGCGAAATCAGAGGTCAGAGCACTGAAAGATGAAGTGGGGGGCAGAACGCGAGGCGAAGGATAAGGCCAAACAGGAGGCATTCGAACGCGCCTATGCTCTGGCTGGTCTTACAGAGGAACTCGAAGTCCTGAAAGAGAAATTCCGTGCCCTCGAAACAGACAACCGCTCGAGCACCCTCGAAGTCCGCGCCCATGAGATTCGGAAAGAGGATTTCGGAAGACTGTCAATAGCAGAGGGCGACCTCGCCTTTTGACCACCCCGCGCAGACCGAAGCGAGCCGCTGCGGGATCTGTTTTATCCCCAGCTCCGGCACGTGAAGAAGATCATGCAGAAGCCACTCCTCCCAAACGCCCACGTTTGTCTGATTTTACACCAAAGACAGAGAGTAAACAACCCGAATCCGAGACGGGTGCTGAAATGGACGAGGATCTCTTGGAGGGATGAAGGAAGAGCTAGACTTCGAACGTCGTCGCAGAGTCGCAGCTGAAGATATGGTTCATTTCCTGAATATCGAGTGCCAGTTCGAACGCTGCTCTTGCAGGCTTGCTGAGAGCCAAGGTCGTCGCTACATCTACGACGCTGAGTACTATCACAAATTTCAAAAGCCTCAGATTGAGGCGGAAGAGAAAGCTCGTGCTCAACAAGCAAGCATTCAGCAAGCCCGTGTGGACCAAGCACAGTCTCACCAAGCTAGCACCCCCGAGGCCAGCCCTCCCCCCTCCTCCACCTCCCGTCCACCGATCTCCTGTCCACCAGGCCCCCACCCCCCAGGTGGGATCTCCTCAACACAGTGTCCACCAGGACGAACCCGAGCCAAGTCGTACACCTCTGGCGGCGCCACCTGTTCCTGTCCATCAGCACACCGCGTCTAGTGTGAAGGCCGAACCCACGGATCTTCCCAAGATGCAGGTGCCAGCCGAGCCCCTAGTCACGTTTTCTCCAGAGACCGGCACATTCACGACATTCCCATCTCCTCTCCGAGATAACGTCAGACCTCTGCGGTTGGATTTTTTCGACGCACCTGATCTCGCCGAGCCTCAGCCAGATGTCCACAAAGTTCATGCTGATGCCTCTGCATCACCCGACCAACAGGTCGACTCGTTTTACCCCCTCTGGGGAGCCGACTCGGGCCAGAATGCCTCGTCCCATCCAATCAGATGGTGTCGCCGCACACTCGCGTGCACCGCCGTCTGTGGAGGCAAGGCCGTCGAGACGTGTCGAGAGAGATCCCCATGGATACCGCCAGCCCATCAACCCCCAAAGAGAGCTCCTTCTCGACAAGAGCCACAGTCACAGCGCACTCACACCCTGGCGTTCCCAACACACCCATCGACCGCGAACAAGCACTCGCACAGATCAGGGCACGACGAGGCCGTACCCATAGCAAGCAGCGATCAGTCAGTGCCAGCGAGCCTGGCCGTGCAGCTCGTGCCTCAGCGGGATCCAACCCGACCCCTGCTCGGGGACCTCGACGCCTTCCAAACCCCAATCTTCGGGCTGATTCGAGGACCGAGAATGAACTTGGTGAACGCCGAGATATGAGCGCTCCTGTTCGGATGTTCCGACGTTAATGAATGCCCCTGGGATGTATATCTCATGATGCATATTTATGCCTTTCTTTTGCATGGTCTGCCGGTGCTTGTCGTTTCCTCTAATACCCCCGGCGCTGCATCAACTTGTCTTTATTTCATTTGCATGGCGATTGGAAGCAATATGTTTTGTTTGTTTTGTGTTTGGATCTTTTTAGCTCCGATGTCATGAGCCTCAGTATACTACGGATTTAATTCCCCAACTGTCTGTCCTTCCTTCGATGCAATCTCGGCTTCACTGTTTGTGTCCCTCTTTTACATTTCCTATGTCCGTCTCATTTTCTTCCTCTGTACATGGGTTTTGACATTGTCGAGAGATAATTCTATTTTATCATGGTAGCAGTCTTCTTCATCGCACAATCCTAGGTATACTCTCAGTTTTAAAACACACACATTTAAAACAACCTTCTGTCAGAACTAGAATCAAATCAGCCATATGGAGAAATTGATATTGACATACAACGTATAATATATGCCTGACAAGGAACAATATCCTCTCATGAAGATCTTCACAAAGGGGATCTCAAGGATCAAAGAACCAGCCTTTACAAAACCGAGATCCCACAGCATCTAATCCTCGCACTATCAACCTTCGCATCACGACCCCACCACAAAGAAACCAACTCCTCAACAAAGACACGGTCCGTCACACTCCACACATCGAGCCCTATCTCTGCCATATCTGCCACTGTAATCGTGACAGTGTCATGCGAACCATTGCTACGGTGACCAGCTCTCGACCCATGACTCGCAGACCCACTCACACTCGACCGCTGCCGGAGCAAAGGCGAGGTCCCCTCGTCGCCATGGATAGACTGGCGAGACATGGAGAGTGAAGGCTCAGTGTCCTCATCATCTTCATCGATGTACGGCGCATCATTATACGCATCGTCATCGATGTCGCTATCATAGCGGGCGATGGCGCCAGCCAACGTAACGAAGATCTGCGACGTTAGACGGCGGAAGTACGCGACCAGCGCGACTTCGAGCGGCTGCTGCTCTTCTTGGAGGGGGGTTGCGGGTGGGTCGGCGTGGGAGGTTGAGTTGTAGGGTGGGCGGGAGAGACTCTCGACGCTTGCCAGAAGGCGGGAGTCTTGTTCTATCTGCTGTTCTTCCTCTTCCTCCGAGAGGCCGTCGCGGTTCTCGCCGGCAGAGGCCCACCAGATGAAGGAGGTGTAGGCCAGCCGAGTCCAGGAGATAGGCTCGACGACGGCGCTGGATGAATAGGTTGAGTCTGTGTCTGAGGGGTCTTGTTCTAGGGATGTGGGGCGGTCGTTGGAGAATTGGCGGAGTCCGCGGCGGAGCATTGCGTAGCGACGGGCGTCGCGCTGGGTTGCTTTGAGCTCGATTTGTTGGATTTGGTTGGGTTTGCCGCCTGTGTTATGGACGAGGGAGATTTTGGGGAAGGCTCGCTCGGCAGTTTCTTGTGAGTATGGTGCGGGGAGGGCGACAAGAATGTCGAAGAGGTCGGGTTTCATGGTTAAGACGGTATCGGTTGAGCAGGCGATCCAGCTCGGATCTGTCTCGGGGTCTCTGATGCTGCGCGATGGATCGAAGGAGGAAAGGTAGGGGATATCATGAATTCCGACGTTAAAGAGGGGGCGGGGGCGTAGTGGTGGTATGCGATCGTCGGGGAGTAGCTGTAGGAGGGAGTTTGGCAGTGATGCTAATAGAGATAGATCATATACTGGATCTGAATTAGCAGTAGATCGATTACCATGCGCATAGGAGCGTACCGTATTTGCACGACGAGTGTACAGGAGCCTCGCCCATAAAGAGAATCCGCTTGCGCAGCAAAGCTGCTCTGTATAGGGGGAAGATCAAAGGTCCGAAGCTCTCTGTGAAATCTGGAAGCGATGAAGCGGGGTGGAATGGTGTCAGGGCCGGCCTGAACGTTTCCAGCACCATTGCATCACTGAACGCGCGGTTGCGACCCAGGTGGTCTGGTCGCTCGCCGGGTCGGAATCGAAGACTAAGAGGCGAGTCGAGGGGGAGTCAGGCGCTGCAGAATCGGTCTCTCCTATCCTGTATGTGTCCCAGTAATCGCATAGATACTGCATATCCGACACGTTCTCAGCGTATTTCCTACCAAGCACCAGTGTCAGTCGGGGATTTCGTCCATCGCCGAGGCCTGGAGATACGAACTGTGTCAGTTCCTGGAGCCTTGGAGCGTGTCGCCAGCTTTTCCCAAGTCTTCCGGTACTGAGGGGCACCAGAACTCCGATCGCAAACATCTTCGCATTGCGTTCGGCCTCTGTGGCGGGATGATTGAGGAACGCGCTGATACCGGCATACTGTTCATGCACGAAGTACCTAAAGGAGCGCGTCAGCAAAGATCGGATCCAAAGCTTTTTGAAACGCTAAAAAAACATACACTAGGTCTTCAGACACATTGTGCAGCCCAGAGGGCAGCGATTTGTATTCCACAACCCCTTCAACCTCAACTATTCACTCGGGAGTCAGTATCGCGTGTCGGAGCGATTGTAGCCTCGGCTAGATAATTGATTGCTCACCTCCCGGCGCAGTTCGCTTCCACGAGACGACATATCTATTGTCGCAGAATGTCAGCAATAGGTTCCTAAGCTTGAGAGCTATGATGCCTAGGGGAGGGAGGAGGAATTACCCGGCTCTGATGTCGAAGCTAATGACGAACAAGGCGGCAATGGCTGGTGGCGACTCCATAGTGGAATGTGAGACGTCAATGTCCAAAGGCCTAGGAGATTCGGATACCATTTTCAAGCAGAATCATGGGGTGCGACACCATTCAAGCTGTGTCGGGGAATCACGGTAAGTTGAGGGGTCTCCGAAGGGGACCTTGGCTATGCGGAGTTGGTGCCTAAGGCAGCAACCTCGGATCTATAACGACTTCGGACAAGCCAACCATTCACCATCTCTCGCCTTGTGCTTTCCAGTGACGGAAATATACATTTGTTGTCTCAGTGATACTCGAGAATAAAACTTTGATGTAAAGGTGAGACTTTGACTCCGCTTCTTGTCCCTTAAATATCCCTCAGCTTCGATCGCGCCCCTGATCGACGACCTCGAGACGTCCAACGCCACAACCTATCTTCCAGCTCCTTCCGACAGACAGCTTCTGCGCGGCGAGCTGTAGTCCGTCAAGATGTGGGTCATACGTGTGCTGGAAGGGTCGGATGGGAGTCCTTTAGAACTTGGTTATAAACCAAGGAAACCGCAATCTTGACGGTGCTTAAGCTCTATATTACCCAGCAGCAGACATGATACCCAAGAGGGCAAATTTATATTTTAAAGAGAAATGTTCCCCTCAGAATATTGATTATATCAAGACTATATAGCACGATATCTACTACAGTGATGACTTTCGAATTCCCCATAATTAGGCGTTATCTTCACGAAGACTCTTCAGTTTCTCTTGGTCAAAGATGCCAGAGCCTGTGAGCTCGTTCTCCAATGTTGAAATAGAAGGCACAAAGAAGTAATCGCCTCCCCTTTGGAACAACCCAGCTATCGAGGGGCATGCGGGCCTCAGTAGGATATTTGCCATCGGGAAGACCGATAGAGCGAGGCGGGTGGTGGTCCAGTCTCTGGCCCACAAACGCATCAATACCAGGACCTTCATCACCGACAAAGTTACTCTTGCGGTCGGGGGAAGTGGTGGTTGCTCGCCCAGCCTGGAAGAAGTCAAATGTTAGTGAGGCCCCTTTGTCAAACGTCATGTCTGAGTTCAAGATTTGAGTGCTTACGGGTAGTTTCAAGAAGTTGAATCCATTGCGGATGTCACTCTGGTAGCAGGCGAACAGAAGTCCACGTTCCTTGTCGGCGGCCGATTTCCGGTTGGTCATTTCTTGGGCTGAGACTTCGTCGCCATATGGAATTCCTCGGCGGATAATAACAGCATGGTCGTGCTCCAAGTCAGCTCGTGGTCTCATTTTACGGGTGTGTGCCGCGAAGGGACACTTGTTGTGCTCCTCGACGGGGTGGTAGTCGAAGTTGTTCGATGTGAATAGACTCCTCGTTCGAGTCATCGTGAGGAGACTCATCCACAGGGGTTCCTAGATATTGTTCAGCAAATTGTTGCATGAATCTTCAACAGGATTGACTTTTGCCACTAACCGTTCTTCCATCTTCCCATCAAGTATGCAGCAAGCTTCTCAGCTGGCTTGTCGTGGTCTTGAGCGAAAGGCGCATTCTTCGCATTTTCCTCCATGAACCTATAAACTCGGTCAATGCCAAATACGTAAAATTGGAACAACCAGAGGTCACTTACTCGTCAAATTCAGGAACAAGTTGCTGGAGGTCACGGAAAACAAGGAAACTGCCATCCTTGGCCCACGCCGGTTGGCCCATATGGTCGCCCCGTACCCGCAAACAATCAACCTGCATTTCATCAGTCTGAGGGCCCTTCATTTTTAACGACTTTGAGAACACTTACCCTGGCTTTGTGGCCTTGGGTTCTTTTCCAACGGGTTGTCTCTTCATCCCAGCTCCTCGAGTATCGGCTGGCTAATGCCATCCTTGAATCAAAGCTGAATATAAAGGTAAGTTCTGGCCCGTGAAGACTCTCCGGCTTTTGATAAGTAATTACTGTTCTTTTCCTTTCATCTGGCCTGGACGAACATTTCCCCTCTCTGGTCAAGGTAAACTCGATAGAGGGGTTCTTACGGAGGACATAGGTGTCTGGGTTGAGAGGTTCTCCCTCCTCGGCTAGGAAATGTTGCTTCACCTCGCTGATCTTGGTATCCAAAATCACCCTTCACGCTTGCGGTCACCAAAATGACACCATCAATAAGTCTCTCTACTCCTTTGCGGTTGGCTTGTATTGCTCTCGAAGCTCGTCGGGGTTGTCCCACCCCTCACCCACAAGATCCGCATACATGCCCTTTTCGAACAGTCCACCACGAAGTTGTTGCTTCCGGAAGACAGTAGATAGCTGTCTGTCCTTTTTACGATGGTCTGATCCGGCGACATTCACAAAAGCTCCAAGCTATGAGTAGTCGCTTATCAGCATCCGTTGTACGGTAGTAAGACCAGTTGGAAAACCTACTGCTTCAAGGCCAGTAGAGGTAAAGCCAATGTTGATTCCAGGTAAGCCTTCGAGCTTAACGGACTCTATGGCGAGTTGGGCCTCCCTTCTCTTGCCTTCTTCATGATTTCGCCCATCTCACAGGCATCTTTACCCGTTGTGATCTTGGGAATAAACGTCTTCAGCCGGTTCTTGAAATCAACCTTGTTTTGAACACGGAAGAAAAGGAAGGACTGGAATCGTTTGGGGAGACCGGGCCTTACGAAGGTTAGTACTTGGAAAGACCACTTCGACATATGAAAATTCGGGAAACATACCAAACATCTCCCCGGATATTCGACTTAATGGCTGAAGTAAGACTCATGATGGAAAGTCGAACTCTTCAAGAGTGTACAATCCAATGTCAATGAAGGCTACTGACAAAACCACGCAAGTTGACCTGAGGGGATGGGATAATTATATGAAAAGAGAGGGGTGGCTCGCCATCCTCTCATCCAACGACAACTTCATTTTCTGACGAAAAAAACAAACGAAAGAGGCGGGGCGAAACAGGTGTCTGATTGAACTGCACGTAGCAGCCACTGGATCAGATCGCTCCCTTACGGAGTAAATATGGAGCATAGTACTGAGTGAGGTAGGTCCAATGGCAATGCTCGATCATAGCCGGGATTCGAGAACGTACGGGCATCTCTGGGGCGAGAAGGGGAATGCTGGCATAATCCATATTACGCCTCGAATACAACATTGACTTGAGCTTGCAGAACGAATCAGCCCCACAGGTCATTGATCGCATGTATTCCTAATTCGGAGATGATAATAGGGCGTCGCATCTCTACTGACAGTACGGAGATCAACATAGCCTACATTTCCAGTCACATTTGGCGGGGTGGGTCAGTCCTTCGAGCAAATGAGACAATAGATATTATACCTATCTCGAACATCACAGTTCCTGCGGGCTAGCATTGAGTACCTGTCCATGACATAGCACACGTCCTGGCTGGAGGGGGTGGAGGTCTCGGAATATCTATATTTGGCAATTTAAGATGTACATCGATGTACGTCGTACAGATCTCTACCCCATGCGGAGTACATACATATGTAGGCTTCAGCTGCAATATACTTAGCTGCATCTAAATGAGCGACATTTTAGTCGATTATAGAGCATGTAACAAGTCATGGCGGGTCAATTGTTTAGGTATGGCTTAATATCGTATACAGGGTATGTTAACCCAACAGTTTGAAATAAATCGCAAGAAAATGGAAAATGACGAAGTTGAGGGATGTGGAGCTGACAGCTTTCAGCTTTCCACTCGACCCACATAATGTTACTGCATTTTGAACTCATTTCTGCGAGGAGGGGACACATGTAACCTACATCTGTAAAGAATAACACCAGACTCAGTTGAAATGGACTTCCAACTACGTGAAAGACAACTTCCAAGGTTCTTCGGGAGTAACTCTTGGAAGCTTAGCGCTTAATCAATCCATGGATGTCTCAGGTGAAGCGGGCCGACTCCACCCTATGCCCGCTAGCACGAACTATCGACTCTTGTATGGAGTACTCTGTATTTGTGGTTCCTCCTCATAATCGACATGTAGTTAGTACCTAATTTTGCAAACGTTTTGACTCGTATGTTGTACAACCTTGGAAGCCCCACCTGTAACATACAGGGTAGGAATAACTAATCTCACACAGCTGAACTGCATACAACATAGGTAACTTCATATCTAGCTCGGAGTGAGTCTTGCATGCCGAGTTTCCGCTGGAGAACGCCGATCATTGACTTGTCACCGAGCATCGCCGATCGGGTCTGGATGTTTGGGAACCTTTCACCGATCTAAAAAGGAGGACCCAGTCACGTCGCACTACGCAAGGTGGGGCCCAGACACCCACTGACGTCTTATCCCTCATCTCGATCTTCAACAATGCCGATATGACACTTGACTGGTGGAAACCACCCCCACCTGACCCTCGAGAGATCCAGTGAAAATGTCATAGTCCACGTATGTTGTACTATTGGCAAAAGGCTATCGCTAATTACCCTGTGCAGAAAATCCCTTGGTTCTGAAATGGGAGTAGAGCTCTGCCCCAGATGGAGAATGCCGAGTAGCATACTTATATGTATGTGCCCCCAGTCACGTCAAGGGTTTCTTTTCCTACAGGTGAAGTGAGCTTTTTTTTCCCTCCTCGTCTTTCACATTCCTTTTGCTCTTCGATCAATTTCGCCCATCATGAAGCTTCAATGGGCTGGGCTACCTCCCTTGGGGGTCGCATTGGTGTGAGTCAATGGTATGGGCCGAATACATGCACCAAGCTATGAGAGGAGAGCGTGTTTCTGGCTGGTGGCAAATCCGACAACCCTTCCTTTGTACCGGAATTCAAAGATGAATCTCCTCCTTACCAAGGTCAACGAATCCCTCGCCAAGACTGGACCCTGATCATGCAGTAGCTCCGCTGCTGACTTCCCATGCAAAAATGCGATCGATGGCAAGAGCGATACTGCCTGGCACAAGCGACCCTCCGACAAGGGACACACTTTCATTGTCGATCTTGGGGCGTGGTACCAAGGTGGGCGCCGTTGTTGTCCTTCCTCCAACTGATACGGATACCGAAGGTCTCATTACCCAGCACAAGATCTGGGTCAGCGAAGATCATGAAACTTGGACCGGGCCTGTCGCATATGGAATGTGGCCCATTACAAACAGACAGCGAATGTCTGTGTTCGAGCCATCATCTACCTGTTACTCTCAGAATCACTACCGATGCCGATAAAGAAAATCCCTGGATCGGTATCGCTGAACTGAACATCTATGGAACTCTGCTACACCATTCCTCGTAACCCCTGCTCTAGGTGTCTGGGGGCCAACTCTGGATTTCCCAATTGTGCTCTGTCTCCCGGTGCTCAGGAGGGATCTGGCATGCTTGCTCTTTATCCCCGTGGGCCGATGACCTATTCCATTCGACCCTTGAGGAAAGACTGTTGGTGACCTGATGTGCGGAACCCATTGACTGGCGAGGTCACCAAGGCACTGTCACCAACACCCACCATGACATGTTCTGCCCAGGAATTTCTCATAGGTGACAGCACCGGAAGGATGGTCGTGACCGGTGGCAACCTGATGCCTTGAGACTAGTCTCTATGATTCTACCAATGATGAGTGGGTTCGCGCAAGCGAAATGCAACTCCGTCGTGTGATACCAGGCCTCTTACAACTCTCTCCGATGGACGCGTCTTCGTCATTGGAGGTTCTGGGGCTGAGCTTCGAACGTTGAGAAGGATGCCGAAGTTTATGACCTCATACTGGGAAACTGGACCATGCTTCCTGACGCTAAAGTCCATAACATGCTGACGGGAGGATATGGAAGGTCCCTGGCGAGCGGACAACCATGGCTGGCTCTTTCTGGCTGGAAGGATCTGAGTGTTTTCCAAGCTGGGCCTAGCAAAAATAAGGAACCGGGTACGCTGCTCATGCCAATGGAACTACTAAGGCAGCAGGACGTCGCATGGACGATGAGGGATTCTATGTCGGGCAACGCAGCCAGTGTTCGATGCCGTTAAGGGAAAAGATTCTCACTCTCGGTGGTTCTGGATTATGATGTAAATCATGGTCTTCAAACGCCGCCCACATTATTACCATCGGCGAACTTAAAACCAGCCGCCGACGGCGTTAAACCGGCCGGACGAGGCACTATGCACTATGAGCGCGTGTTCCATACTCGTCGGTCGTTCTCCTGGATTGAAAGGTCGCGACTTTGGTGGCTGTGCAGTTCGGCATTGCGTTTAACGAGGAAAATGTTCAATTTATTCCTGAAATCTATGATCCTGAAACTGACACTTTCACCAAGATGAGGCAGAACAATGTTGGGCAGAGTATACTACACTGTGTCAATTCTCTCCCAGATGCTCGAGTATTGAATGCAGGCGGGCTCTTGTGGTAACCGCACGGCCAACCACTATGATGGCCAGATCTTTACATCCCCTACCTCCTTACTGCCTCGGGCGAGCCCTGTCCCCGTCCAGAGATTATTTCAGGCTTGAAAGATTATGCTCTCCGTGGGCAGCACTCTGAGATTCCAGATATCCGGGCCCGTGATCAAGAAAGCCTTTGATCCGTTTGGGAACCAACACTCACACCGGGCCAACACTGATCAACGCCGCATTCCACTTCATAATTTATCCTACCTCAATCTTCTGAAATACCTACATGGCTACCCTGCCCAAGGACTCGGGTATCCTGATTCCCGGATACTGGATGCTGTTTGTTATGGACCGTGATGGCGTGCCTAGCATTGCCAAGGAAAATTATGATGATTGGCTTGACAACACGAAGACTATCCAGCCAACACGGAGGAGTCGCTGAGCCGAGATGGATGAACAGAAATGAGCATGAATTACCCAACCCTTGTTGCCAACTTTGCGTGTCGAGACTAACTGACTTATACAGACGTTGGATCGTTCATGAGAATTGAGCTGCTGGTTAGAAAGTGGTTTTGGCGTGAACCCGGTATATTTGAAGACTCGGGAAAGTTTATACAACTGACGTAAATACAGTGTTGGTGTTTTTACAGCTATAATTCGAATCTGACAAGTTACCTAAAATCTCGAGCTTGAACTATGTATTTGCCGTAGTCTTATTTCTGGGTCAAGGATTATACAAAGCCTTTATCAGTTATAGGGTCAAGGTAAAAACATGCGCTAGTCTGTTATATTGGTGAGCGATATAAATTATGATTCACATATTTATTTGTACTAACCACAGCAGAAACTAATACCTCCGAGGCCACAGGCCCTTATATGGGGAGAGAAATCGTTGAACACTGAGCTCGAGGAAGCTGCCTAAGACAAACCCTTGGATCCCTTTCCGGGGTATTGACATCAATTATAATATAACAGCAGATCTGCAAAAAGTCTCAATTTGCTAAGCTCTTCAGATACTTATAGGACTTGGGTTTAAACTCTATCGAATAAAAAAAAAAACATACTTATAGAAAGAAAGGATCATAGAGTACGCCGAGGGCGACGTATATAAAAAAAGGGACTGTTTTATACTACTAGAGAGAGTCGTACGACTTAAAGTAGATCTATCGGACGTTTAGAGGCATATAGATCTAGAATGTATAACCTCGGTTAACCTAAGCATAATATATACTAGTAGAAATCGGAATATAAACAAAAGCTCATAGTTTATTGTGGGATTATATATATTATTATTTATAATTCCCTTCGTAGTTTTATTGTATAATAAAGTAACAACTTTTATCATTTTAACCAACTATCTTAAAAACCCATTTTTTTTGTCTGTTGAATTTTATGCTGTTCGAAGCCGAGTAGTGAGTAGTCAGTCTTTTCCATGTTGCATTGTCCGATAAGAACAACAACCACGACTTGCATTACGCCAGCCGGTCGGAGTAACATCGGCCTGGCAAAGGGCCAAATAAACCTTTATCTCTAGCTGATTGTCACGTCCTACTTACGTTGTAGGTACCTACCTAGGTAGGAGGTATAGTTATCTATACTGCCAGAGAGAGTCGTGCCTAGGACTCAAAGTGGATCCATCGAATTCAATTCTGAGGTACCAAGGTACTCAGGTACATAGTTATGATGAACCAACTTGTATGTAAATACGTTACGGAAAAGTTTTAACGTCCTAACACTGCCGCTTACCCTTCTAACAAAGAAAGATAAATAATAAAATAGTAACCAATTGAGAAAGAAGGAGGGGAAGGAAATAGATTAATAAAAATCCGGCATGTTGGTCTTCATGTTCGACAGCTCCCCCATATCAACAAACCCCATAAATATATGCGGAGCCATCAATAACTAAAAAGGAAGCACCTTGGGCCCTTTTTGGATTCCTTTTTCTAATTTTAATTTAAATATCCGGGCTTCGGGCCACCTCCCACAAACCAACCACACGGGAGACTTCAGTCCCCTTTGACACCCCCACCCCCCCTAGTAACACAGATCAGGAATTGTGTGCTCTTGAAACAGGACAAAGCCAGGGGGGAAATCCCCAAAACGAGCGTGACACATTATAGGGCTGTGGTGTAGTCAACGGGGAGAAGAAAAAAAAAAACGCGCCACAAAACAAAGAAAACAAACACCCTCGTGGAAAGGAATAAAAAAAATAACTCAAGTCCTTCCTGGCTTAAACAAAAAAAAATGGAACGCCAAAAAAAAAGGGGCAAACCAAGTGTTCTCTCGCGAACCCCTGGCCCATTCTCCCTTACCCCCTGCGGCAAAAGTATTTTCCTTCAGATATCTATCAACGATTTCAGCAAATTTGATTTCGTTGTACAGGGGGCCGAAAGAATCGCCAGAATGACGGCACGGTGGCAGAATCATCGAGCAGATTTACTCCCCAAAAAGGTTCAGCTGCCTCGGGAGCAGTTCTCGAGGAGGCCGTTGTGAGGGTATATGCCTGGATCCTCAAATACCTTGTTGAGGCCAAACGCTACTTTGAACAAGAAACAGGAGGTGAGTTCATATTGCCAATTTGACTGTAGCTGGGAAAACTCACACCCTAGTACGAATTTTGAAAAAGTGGGCTTCTTGGACAAAATGATTTCAAGATCTTTGGAGAAAATGGAAGGACAGAAATTGGTCGACAGATAAGTTCAAGCTGAGAGTAGGTGGGGCATTCCACTTCTTTTTTGTTCTGCGCTGCG